TGTTCAGAGTTTCGGATTTAAATCGGCTGGAAAGAGCGTCTCCCTTCAACCAGATTGTTTCCTGACTGTTATTTATGACCGATGCGGATTCTCAGCTGAGGGAATGTGCTTTATCTGTAAACATGCTGAATTTACAGTATCACACACTGTAAATGTTGTGTTGCCATGGGAACCAGGCATGTATTTAGTTGGCGATGCAGAAATCACATAAATATGTTTTTATGTTTGGCTCTGATCTGCTGTCAAGTCTGTTTTTGCTAGTGGACAGATGATGCAGCTTTTCTGAAGCTGATAAAACACAGATTAGAACATGGATTGTTTTACTGGTATTTATTACAGAGAATATTCAATCAATAACATTAATTTCACTTTGATTTGGCCAGAAATTAAAGTGATATCCTGCATTATGGGACAGTGTCAGACCTAAATGCACTTCAATACAAGATCAGGTTTAAATATATGAAGTTTAAAGTTAAATTGTTTGAATGTTTGACGTCAAACGCCCCTTTTTATGTGAACGCACAGAGTCTGAAGCAGAAAGTCTGAGTTGACAAATAAAATTGAGAACCACCTTAATGATACCTGTGATCTCTGACTGGGGCTTTAGTTCTTGTCACTTACACAGTGAAAGCCCGGTTATGTCAGACTTGCTTCGTAGTACAGCCCTCTGGTGCTGAACCTTGTTTACATAGTTGGTTTAAGTTTCTGTTTTTATTCATCCTGTAAGCAAACAGCAGTAATGTGTTAAAATACATACCTTCTCTTTCTTTGCAGTGTGATAGAGACAGTTGCTGCCTACATGGACCGTAAAGGAGTGGAGGTGCCGCTTTACGTAGAAGAAAACTTCCCTGAAAATCTGCAGCTCTCCCAGATTGTAGAAACCTGGAAATACGCCGTCACAGCCAAACAGGACTGGATGATGGAGGGCTGAGCTGGAGTCTGGAGAGGCTTCGGTCTATCCGTTGTGTTATCATCAAACATTTAAGAGCTAAAGGAAGATTTTTTTTTTGTTTCTGATTTTCTTGATGTTTCTACAATAATTATGTGTTAAAGATCTAAAGGTTGTATCCTTTAGGTTCAGGAAAACAACAAAGCACAGCATCATGAGTGAGCTTTAATTGCTTTCTGTTAATATAGAAAATATTTAGTAGAAATTCTGATGATCTACTAAAAAAATGTTTTTGACTTTGAACATTTTTACTATTCACCACCAAAATCTGATTATTTGGTTAAAACAAATCTGCACGGTGGCACAGTAAACTAGTACAGGGAGTACAAGTTGTTGTTTTTTCATTTTTGCTCGTTTATCTTTGATTTATCTGATTTTTATTGTGTTTGTTGAGACTTTTCGGATCAGTGACTCCAGAAATACAAGAGTCTGTGAGTTTGTAGAGAATTTAGCTCATCAGTTTATCAAACATTTTAGAAACCAAAGGACGGTTTCACTTTTTTTTTGTTCTTGTTTTTTATGTTTGGGGTTTCAGTGTTTTTTCTTTCTGAGAGTTATGTACAAGAACTAAAATATAACCTTTAAGCTCAGGACTATAGAGCCTTATTCAGTAAAAAAATACTCTCAGGATCTACTCAGAACATTTATTTGACATTTACAAGCATTTACTTTTTGATTGTTTTATGTTGGTTTTTTTTGACTATGTACAAACCAAAATCTAATAATTACAGTTAATGAATCAGCTGGATGGTACAATAATCAAGTACACAAAACAACATAATACTGTACATTCTGCATTTTATATTCATTTTTCTTCCGCTTCATATTACTTTGTTTGGTTAGATGCATTGAGGTGATTGATATCATTGTAAAAACAAAACCACTGGTTTGACATCAGAGAGGATGTTACTATGTCTTTGATTTATCAGATTTTTATTTTATTTGTTGCATCTGATCATGTTTGGGACCAGTGAGTTTATAGAGAAGTTAGTTATCATTTTAGGAACCAAAGAAATGTTTTACTTTTTCCTTTTTGTATTTCATCTTATTCTTGTTTTGAAGGATTTTTCTGTGATAACTGTGTAAGAGATTAAACAAAAGAACTTTTGGGCTCAGGAGAAGCGATCAGGCATAGCAAGACAGATTACACTCAGGCGCCTGATGCATCCATCAAAAGCAAGCTGCTCATTTTGTTATTTAGTGGAAAATCTCAGGATCTACAGAGCAATATGTTGTTTGACTCTGACAAGGACTTGCTGTATGACTGTGTACATTTAAGGATCATACTGTTTTTTTTTTTTTTTAGGTTTATCATTTACCACCACAATCTGTTTATTAATGGTTATTGGTGAATGAATGTGCATGGTGGTACAGGTGAAAAAAAAATGAATCCTGCACATTTTTTTGTTCACTTTGAGGTACTTTGTTTTGCTGCATTGATGTGATTGATATGTTTGCAAAATCACTGGTTTGAAATAAGAAGTGGTACTCGTTTATCTTTGATTTGTCTCATCATGTTCCAGATCTCTAGATTGTCCGTGGGTGTGAATGTGGGTGTGCTTGATTGTCTGTCTCTAGGTGTGGCCCTGCGATGGACTGGCGACCTGTCCAGGGTGTCCCCTGCCTTCGCCCTGGGTCGGCTGGGATAGGCTCCAGCCCCCCCGCGACCCTAATGAGGATTAAGCAGTGTATAGAAAATGGATGGATGGATGTTCCAGATCAGTGACTCCACAAACGAAAGAGATTTTAGTTTTCAGTTCATCTCTGAGTCTATGTGCTAAAAAACAAAAGAAGATCTTACTTCATTATTATTTTTGGTGTGTGGTTTTATAGATCTCTATGATAATTATGCATGAGAAAGAAAAAGGAATAAAATCTGCTTATATACTGTCAAAAATCTGATCATACGTAAAACTGAAAAACAAGTAACCTGTCAGTTCTAATGCTGCACTGAATGTTCAGTCATTTAATGATCAATAAATCTGGGAAAGTTACATTCGTGTAATTTGTGCTGTTTAATGAAGAAGTCCATTTACATCCGTTCCTGAGACTTTGCTGTAGTTATCTGCAGTTTTGATCAATTCTGCACTTTTATTTTCAGTCTGATCCAGGAAACAAATCGAAGAACTGATCAAATGGGATGAACTTACATTTATCTGTTCAGCTTTCTGATCGTTTTCACTGTAAACTAGTTATTGTTTGGTCAATGACTAGTCAGCGCCGCAGTCGGTGATTAAAATGAACATTTTTCAAAACTTTAACGATAAGACAATTAAATAAATATGTGGCTCCCATTCTTAATCCTTTCTGTGAACAAAAACATAGGTGAGAGCAAAGGCTGACGAATGTGAGGTGGAATTTGGAGCTATTTTTCAATGAGATTTTAACTTTTGTCACTTTCATTATTCATCAATGTAGAACTTTTTTTTTACTCATCACGCTCCTTTTTGTTATAAACATAAAAATCCTCCATTGCTGATTCTTGACTGGTGACAAACAACTATTTTCAAATTAAAATTGTGATTTGAAACCAGGCAAATTAGCAAATAGCAAGGCTGTCGTTTAGGATGAACATTTTGCAGCGTGTCTGTCTGAGAGTTTTATAAATTCACTCCTCTCCCTCCTGGTGTTAGTCACATGCTTGTTGATGGCATCTTGTGGTCATGCTTCACTGCACATTTGGAATCTATTACAAAGTAAATACTCAACTGAAGCTTGACTTTAAAAAGTTCAATTGCAAATCAAATCGTGATTAGATATCACCCCCAAATCATTCAGCCCTAACAGCAAACTGAGGTTCAATCTTCAGATATAAGAGAACTGTTACTGAATAAATACAATTGATTTAACAAAAGCTGTTTAATTCTCATGTTCTCATGTAAATAAATTACAATATCGTCTTTTGTTACAAAAATAAAATGAAACCCAACCAACACGACATATGCTGGACTTATCCATTTTAGACATAAGAATATGAGAATGTTGTTTCCTAGAAATCCTAATTATCAGCATCACGTGTTGTCTTACAAATGCTTTAACAAAAGTGTTCATTTTCAGGGACCATATCTTTGTCTCCTTGCTGTCCGTCTACTGTCTGGCTGCTGTGATCAGACTGTACAACACAGCAAACCACAGAACGTCACAACCAACACAAGAATAAAGAGCAAATTATAAAAAATATTCATGCAACAGAAGTTGGGGTTGGGTGCTTTCTACACTGGAAACTACAAACGAGGAGACGACCACCAACAAAAAAAACCTGAAACACTTGTTCCAGTGTACCAACAGATGCAAACCTGATTTGGGAAAACACACAATGTGGTTTATGAAACAAAATAGTTTTGTTGTAATGATGCAGAAATTTGTACTAAAGGAGAAACCTGCCAGCTCTGACTGATAAACTGGCATACAGTCATAATAATAAAAAAAAAAGTTATCAACTTCCAGACGCTAAAAAACAAAATTCAGTGCAAAAGCACAGCTTCTCTCGATGTCTCCAGGTTTGGTTCCTGCAACGATCACTCCTAACAAACATCACAGCAGAACAATAACACCAGAGTTAATTTTTATCTTCATGTGCTGAAGGAGGAATCACTCTGATTGACAGGATGTGTAGTCAGATGTGCATCGTCATCTGTCAGTGCTGGTTCTTCATTCCCGGCGGTTTTCCTGGTTTCTTATCCGGCTGCTGCAGCTGCTGCTGTTGCTGCTGCTGCTGTTGGCCCCGACCAGGACCCGTCATCCCTCGGCCACGACCGCCAAACAGACCTACAGGGAGGACGCATAATGATCCTGTCAGCAAAAAGGCATGCCTCCTATCTATTAATTTTACATCTGAACAAATTCAGAGGACGTTTTGATGCCACACCTGAGAGCATCTATACTGAGCTCATCAGAGCTGTAGGACATGCCCGAAAGCACCACTCAGGTGAAAAAACATACCCGGTAAAATATCTTGATGCTGATAATAATCACTTAAAAATATTTTGTTGTCTGAATTTGTGTTTTATCTAGAAGAAAAACATTTCAGAGCTTGTCAAAAAGAGTCTGTCTTTATCTAACTGGCGTGTTTTTCAATTCTATGGTTCATACACCTCCGTCACACCTGATATGAATGATATACAATCATGTTTATTTATTTACAAATATTTTGGGCAAAACTTTTTGCAGAGATATTTGGACACAACCTAAAGCTGTACTCAACAGTCGTGCGTGCGTTATGACAGCAGGCACAAACGACTCACCTCGGCCGGCTCCTCCTCTGCCTTTGCCCTGCTGCTTGTTCTGCTGGGCGCCTCCACGTCCGCGGCCCTTCGACACCACCTCCTCCTTCACCATGTCGATGATCTCGTCGGGGATTCGCAGATACTTGATGGTGCTGCCTCGGATGTAGCACTCAGGCATCCTCCAGAACTTATCTCCATCCTGTGAGGGGGGGAGTGGGGGTGTCAACACATCCCATCTGCTCAACTGTTTACTCATCACTTCACATCCTTTTGCATGTTGAGGAAAATCTCACAAGTACGTTGGACTGAAACCCCGATAAGATCCGTGCTGAAGGAATCAAGCCACTGATGCGCTGAACATCACCAGTAGTATTTAAAACAGGTTGCAATTTTACTGACTATATAATTCTTTTAAATCTAAGCCTCAGTTAATGTTCACTGCATAATAGTTGTAAAACATGCAATGGAGCGTTACCACATGAGAGCCCATCAAAAGCGAATCCGGCACACAGGGAGGACCTTTAAACATTTAAACCCTGCGTCAGATGGGCTGCAAAATGTATGTGGTGTGGCTATTAAACGACGAGACTCTGCTTACATCAGGCAGACCACAGTTCTGCCTCTTTCTCTTTGAAATACACTCGTTGTATTGTACTGTCCTGCGGGACGCTCTCCATGTAAACATTGGACCAAACAGACGTCTGCATTGTCTGTGTTCTTGTTGAAAGAGACTCTATCTGCAGTTTGAATGTCTGCAATGAAGTGAGTGCTCAGCTTTACCCTGGAGGTGCAAATGACTTCTCTCAGGTTGATGTTCATCCAGTTGTCACAGCTGACCAGGTGGCCGTTGTACGTCTCTCCATTCTTCAGCTCCACCAGCTGAGGAGAGACATGACAGGACAAACAGGCGGCTGCTTTAGAGTCTTTGCAGAGGTTACAGCTTCAGTTCTCTCCTGGTATAACTCATAAAAAGAAGACACAGCAATCACAGACTACACAGATTACAAGTTACCATACCAGCTCAAACAAAGACATTCCAGTTAACGTGTACGTTTCAAAGTTTAGCCAATACTGGCGGTAGTTTATCAAATAATATTAAACTAATTATGAAGTCACAACAGCAGCACAAAGAGCAAGAAAAACCAAACGCCAAAATCTAAGTAACTGCTTACCAGTCACTGGTATAAAGAGACCAAATGACCGACTGAAAACATTAACAGACTTACAATAATAAAATGTATAGAATAGAATGGGATATACTTCATTTATCCCAGACCTGGGAAATTTAAACATCACAGCAGCATCCAAAAAATATAGCAAGAAAGTACAAGAAAATAGCAATAATTAAGCAATATGCGTCCTGGTGTCCGCACACAGCAGGTCTGAATGTGGGGAGAGTGGTAGAGAGCGATGTATGGTTAAAGTCTCCTGAGATGACGATCAGAGACTGAGAGTGTGATGTTTGCAGCTGGGACACTGAACTATGGATGAGTTCACAGACTGCAGCAGCATCAGCCGAGGGGGGGATGTAAACTGTAATCTCCAGGACGTGCGAAAACTCCCTCAGCAGGTGAAACGGCCGCAAACCAACCGCCAGCAGTTCAGCATCCTTCCTGCAGTTCCTTACTTTACAAAGTATACCATAAAATTAGACACCTTAGGGGATGTTTACAGCTTTTGGACTGTGTGTGCTTTTAAAAAATGACTTTCTCTCCCAGGACTAGACGTACACATGATGACTACCAGTTCACAGCCTAACACTGCTGTATCCATGATCAACATTAAAATACGTCCAGCTCCTGCCAGTACAGGCTTAATGACAGCAGAGAGAGTGTCTCCTCACCATAGGATGGTTCTGGGCAGTCTTCAGCAAAGACAGGGGAAGCTGCAAAATAACAGTAAAAGCAGGTCACACACAGGAATACACAAGCAGTCAGCATTATTCAATCAGCTGAATGGACCTGATCACGACATTTGAAACATCAACCAGACACAGCTCGCATTGGGTGCTGTAGGCAGCCTGATACACACGAGACACCATAAATCTCCCAGCAGTATTTGATTTATTGTCTACCACTGATGTATTTACCGCTAAGTGTTATTTATTAGCTTTCCAAAGAGTCCGAACACCGCTTTCAGGTTAATGCTATTTATGCAACGAGTCACATTAATTATCCGTAACCTTACAACACTCTAGGAGAGATTGGAGTAAAATTAGCTCAAATGTGAGCCCGTTCAGCTCAGTACATAGCTTTTCTTTAGCGGTCTGTTAATCCTGCTCGCATTTCACAACAACTGCTTTAATTAAATGATGTTTAATTTAGCTACTACTGCTAACGTAACTTAGCTAGCAGATCGACTGAGTCCCGGCGCCGCGGTGCTGCTAACGCTGTTAGCATTAGCCGAATAGCAGGTGTGCAACTGAAAATGAGAAAGCTACCAACTCCCAGAATTAAATAGCTTAATACTGACCATTCTGAAGATATTTCCTTTCTGTTTAGTGTGTTACTTTCTTCTTCAACACGGGTTTTCCCACCTACCGCTCTTCTTCGCCTTCTAATGAGCTTCCGGCGCAGCGGTGCGTCATCACGGCTGTTTCAGAATGCTGCCCCCTAGTGTCACAAACACGCATCTCCAAACATTATTTACATGAGTCCATTATTATTTTACCTGTTAGTAAGTATGTTAATTCCACCATTTGCCCAAATGCAAGTCTTAGCAACCAAGTTATTATTGTATTAAGTAGCATTTTGGGTGGAATAAACTTCAAAAACGTCAATTGAAAAGCACTATTTGGATGAAAAAAAAAACTTTAAAATTATAAGTACTAGGACACTTTTAAAATTATACCTGTATTTTGCGAGAAATCATCCTTTAGAACTAAGTTGCATATTTTGGCTGTCATTCATTGTGGTAGGTGGCGCTGTCTTGAAAAAAAGGCTCTGAACGTGCGGCTGTAGAAGACGCTGTGGCCCTATGACTGTGGTCAATGGGACCTCGTTCACCCAGTCGAAATAGGAACACAATCTCACAAATGTTGTTTTGTTTGTTTGTTTGTTTTAAAGATATTTGCAGGTTAGAAATTTGAGCTAATCTGGCCCAGTTCCCTTATCCACCACATAAAGCTATGTTGACAACAGACTGACTATAAATCCACTTGGAAAGGGTGTGATTGCTGAGTTATAAGAGCTACTTTGTTTTCTTGATTGTCTCTTCTTATCTATAATTAGGGATTATGGGAAGAGGACCTAAATTTGCAATTGGAAGAAGAAACATGGGATTAAATACTAAAGAAGGTCTCACAGTCTAAAGTTGACCATCGGCCTAAATATACTACAGAAGAACTGATCAAGATTTACCCTGATGTGAGCGCCATGTGTGCAAAAATCAGTACTATTGCCTTTGTGTCTCTGACTGATAAGCGACTAATTCTTTTTAGGTGGAAAGATGAAACAAGGCCCACTCATTAGGCATCTAATGCGGTTTTTGCAAATAGAAATTCAGTCAGATTGGATCTGCTGATGATCCTTCATATAAGACCTGGCAGTTATTCATCTCACATGTCAAGACCTGCAGAGTGGATATGACATCTTGAGAATGATTTCATCTGAATTTGAGTGGTGTTGAAATGTGCAGCAATATTTATAGTAATGTCTGTGTTGCAAGTGGCCATGGTTTGAGCTGTGTTGTGTCACAAAAGTTTTTATTTTACTTCCTTTAATTTACTCATTTAATTTTATCACTATCGTCTCTTTGTCTTCCTTTCATCATCCTTTTTGTAGTTGTTTCTATTTTATTTTAGTACTAACTTACTATCTCCTCTGCCTGATGTGTAATGTAGATTGATAAACATGTTTGCTTGTGCATCAGCTGTCCACATTGAATTGCTAAATGACATTTTTATATCAAAGTGTTCTTTACATTTTAAAAAGTGTCCAAAAACAGATTATGTTTATCACTATTATCAAACACCTACATGAAGTAACAACATGTCGATCATCTTCTGTATATTTTCAGCAAAATATACAAGAAAAAATATACAAAGAGAACCATATACCGAGATATACAAGAATAATGGAAAATAGCCACGATAAAACTAATTAGGAGAAGTGTTTTAAAAGAGGAGCAGAGCCTATGGGAGGGAATTCAGTAGCTTGGTAAGCCAAAAAAAAAAAAAAAAAAAAAAAAACATTTTAAGTAGGAGGTTACTGTTTTGTACAGACATTAAATATAGAAATAAGGAAACAATTACAGAAGTAGATCTGTTTATCACAATTAGATGCAGTTATTTATGTTATTTTCTTTCTTTTTTTTCCCTCCGTATTTCTTCGGTCACTTCCACAGCTTTCAGCACGTTACTGATGACGAACATAGAATTTAAAATTGTCAAAATACATTTTTCATTATGAGCACGCCTGTCAAATTGTTTGTTTATGTGTACAATCATTGTTAAATAAAGTTCTGTTGTTAAAAAAAATAAAATAAATAGCACGTTACTGATGACGTAAGGACGTCACGTCTTACGCAGGCAGCGGACTGAAGGAGGACCGCCGGTTCGGTTTGTGCTCAGCAGAAGAAGCCGTCAGCTGCCGAGGACAGCGACTTTCTGTACCGTCCTGGTTCGAACTACAGACCGAGAAACAACAACGGATCCTCCGCGACAGGACGGGAGATGGACAACAGTAAACGGACGGTGGTCGTTACAGGTTCGTCTTATTTTTACCTGCTGCCCTCGTCGTGTTTGTCGGCGGACTGAGCGGCGGCTGAAGTGGAGGAAAAGTTGAGATGACAGCCGCTCCGCCGGTAATGGCGTCAGGCTGCTTCACTCTGCTCGAGCTGTGGACCGAAACAAACGTTTTCTTTTAGTTTTAGTAATGACAGTGTTGTTTTCTGCTGTTTGTTGCATATTTACAGGCTACTGACAGATTAGGTTAAAATTTAATGTCGTTGTCTGCGTGTTTTGTCGAAAGGCCGTATAAAACAATATAAAGGCAGAGGTAAACAAAATGTCACATTTAACAATATTCATCTGAAATTCATGAAGTTAGTGTATCTAAACACCCTGGGTCCCCCGTTTTAATGAAGAGGTTAGGAAATCCACTTCTGAACATGTTTAGTTAAAGAAATAAAGTCTACATTCACAAATTATCTCAAACAAATAATAATCAAACATGAGCTTATAATGTTGATCACAATGCCATATGCAAGCAGACCTGCTGTTAAATAACTGACTGTATTTATGTATGACAGGAATAATGTCCATGAGAGACAGACAAGACAGCAATATACAAAGAAGAAAATGCAAACATTTAATAAATTGACAGTAGTTGATATTATATGTCAGTCCATTAGGACAGTTTTAACTTTAAATTTAGTGTTTTTCGTCTTTGTTGCTTTGTGTTGAGCGCTTCATCCACTGACAAACTTTTGGACTTGGTCTCATAATCAGAGCTCTTTCCAGACATAGTGTAATTATAAATCTGAAAAATGGTGGTTAAAAATCGGTAACCAGTCACTAATCAATGACTGTTTGCAGCATCGTACTGTACTGGATTCTATCTGGAACCTCACCCATCATGTTTCCTATTTAATTGCACAACTTTGCATAATAATATAAAAGCCTGGACTTAAAACCGTTAGTGTCAGCTGCATAACACCAAACTGTCTTTGGAGTTTTGCTTTCCGTGATTTATTTTCTAAAACATATTTTGCATTACTATTCAATGAACTGAATATCCTGAGTAATAATTACAGTGATAATAATAATTCAAAAATAAATATTAATATGCTGCATATTCAGGATTGTTTTAGTCCAAAAACTATACTCACTACTGCGCTGCTTCCAGCCTCATCAATATAATATCTTTTAAGTGCACAAACTACAGACTTGGACATTTCATTTTAGCAGAAGTAGCAGAGACATTGATTTGGTGTTTTCAGACACAAAGGAGTGGAGAAACTCGCAGCCCCAGCTGATGGGAGACGTGTAGATTGCCTGGGAACAGCACCTTCACAATAGCTGGCCGGCTGGCAGCTGCCTCCCCTCACTCTGCTCCTTTTCAGCAGCCTGTCAGACAGACAGATCCCTTCTCCACCCAACCCCCAGGGACCCGCTGACCCTCGGACGGCTGGTGGAGGGGGGATCAGTTATAGATCCCTATATAAACAGTTCAGAGTGAATATCCATAGGCTGCAGCAATATTTTGTTTGTAGGTTACATAGAGTGCAGCTTTCAGGGATTTATTTGTAATAATGAGTGCCATTCTGGAAAACAGCGTTATTTACTCAAATAGTAAATATTAAACAATGGCCTCTCAATGTTTTTAATATAAGGGATGTTGGACATTTTCTGGAAAAGGAGAAGGTGCACGCTTTATACTGCAAATCAACAAAGTTTGATGTTATCTTGCATTCATATCAAAACATTATCAAATCCCTACTTAGTCAGAAGCTACATTCGGAATGTGTATTTAAGTCGTATCAGCAATAGAGTGAAAACAAACTGCTGAAATAGCTCATGGCTTTTTATTGAAAGGAAAGTAGGAGAGGAGAGCCGATAGAGAGACTTCTTTGCATTTGCAGCTTTTTTTTTTATTTATTAGTGGACATTTGAGTAAACCTGGAACAAAATGTATGATTTGTAGTGGCTCATCTTTACAGATCTTATCTGTTTGTGAAAATGAAAGTGTCTCTTGAAGTCACACCAGGATGTCTGAGCCTCCCTAACCAGAGACATAATCACTATTTGTTCATCAGCTGAAATATCGGACATCTTTTGCAGGTTTTGGGCCATTTGGAGAGCACACCGTCAATGCCAGCTGGGTAGCAGTACAGGTATTTGCGCTCCTCTATTTCTGTTGTAATTCACAAATTCAATAATTATGTTTTAGGATTTTTATTTTTTTTTGTATTTTATGTTCTGTTGAAATAAATGTCACCTCGACAGAAATAATGAGTAAGTTTACTTTTTACATTTTTAATATGCTAAGGCAAATCCTTCTAACTTTCTTCTAAAATGTTGTGTATCCATTCACTGAAGACTCTTGAAGCTTATCATACCGTTCAGGCTCCGGTCATGTAATTAGCAACATTTGAACCTGGCCGTGTTGCAGCGACGTGATGCTGTAGTAGCTACCGGCCGGCTTCACACTGCAGCAGTGCTTGCCAGAGGCTTCATGTGGGGGATGATGGTGGTTGTCAGGGTGTCTAGACGGCCTTGATAAGGATATTAAAGGCAAACAAAGGGCCGCATTGTGGCAGGGTCACAGACGTGGTCAAACACGGCTCTTTTCAATACAAGTGGGGGTCAGTGTCCAGGGCTATTTGTCCTGCAGGGAGATTGGGGGAGGTGTTGTTACAGATTTGTCTTATGTGTGATGCCTGTGATTGCATCTTTTTCTTCTTGCTTTTGCCATACTGGCTTCGGTTATGTAGAAGGTTGAATGTTGCCTTAAAATGCTTTCTTGTTATATTTTCTTATCTCAGTGTAAAATGGTGCTATCCAGGAGTGGCAAGGCAATTGAGAGACATCTCTCCTCTAAGAAAAAGCAAACAGGGACTGAAATGTGCCTACCTAATTTTAAATACTCAACAAAAATTCTTTGTAGGGACTTATTTTGTGGCAAAATTTGTGACACAGGAATAGACAAAGAGGATAATAAGCAGTAATGTACTGAACTAATACACATTTAGAAACGAAAAAGAATTAATTACAATGACGCCATTACTTTTCTACTAAAAAACAAAAAAACATCTGCTGTTTATTAAGATTATCCACAGCAGTTTCATAACGCGTATTATGTAAAGTCAACTCAAAAAAACTACAAATGTTGTCTCAAACTGTGAAACGAATTGGAGCCATAAAGCTTTTGTTTGCTCTGCCAGGAACTGAAGAAGCTTGGACTGGGAAGTGAAGTGGACTTACACGTGTATGAGGTTCCTGTAGAGTACCAGACAGTCCAGAGTTTGGTTCCTTCATTATGGAAGCAGTATCACCCACAGGTAAGAGGAGACCCTGATTATACCGGCCTTCAGTGTTTCACTTTCGTAAGAAGCCGGATTTTATGGTGTCACAGTTTGAGTTGTGTGTATATAAAGAAGAAATGTGTACAAAACATACTGCAATACATTCAGTTACATGCTTTTAGCTTAAGTGTGGCACAAGCTCTCTATGAAAACATTCAGTTTTAACAACTTGGTTTTCATCTTCAGTTTTGGAAAAAAAATGGAGACATTTCTGGTTCTGTTAAAATAGTCATGTCTCCACGAACCACAGGTGTAAATGCAGCAGAGATCAGAGTGGAGCAGAAATATGTGACTAAATCTGACCCCATGTTTTTCTTGTTTCCTTGTCGGCCAGTTGGTAGTTCATGTTGGAGTCTCAGGCATGGCCACCACTGTCACATTGGAGAAGTGTGGCAGAAATCATGGCTACAAGGGCCTGGACAACAGCAGCTTCTGTCCTGATTCGCAGTGTTGCATTGTAGGAGGCCCAGACTGCATCAACTCCGTTATTGACATGGAATCAGTCTGCAAAAGAGTGACTGCATCGGGGCTGGGAGTATCCGTGTCTGTCTCCAAAGATGCTGGAAGGTAATTATCTAGTTTTTATTTTCATTTTTTTTAAATGGGACTTTTTTTTTGTTTTGCCTTTTGTTTCCAACCACATGCTTCTACTTTGGAGAGATAAAGAGACGAATACACATCCACACATGAGTCAGATGTGAAGAGTGAGGTGCATTTAGTTTGACAGTTTTTATTTTAGTTAACAGTATGACAGACAGCAGAACAAAAACTGTGAGCAATAAAGTCAGGAGTGAAGTTAGGATGTAGCATTGCTTGATTAAAATCAGTTATCACATTAAAAAACTTGCATGTTTAGAACTTACAACAAATTTTGACCCACTTTGTATTTATTTTACGACTAATAATAATAATAATAATGATAATAGAGAGTTTGCATGTTCTCCCCGTGCAGCGTGGGTTCTCTCCGGGTTCTCCGGCTTCCTCCCACAAGGTCCAAAAACATGTTGAGGTTAACTGGTGATTCTAAATTGTCCGTAGGTGTGAATGTGAGTGTGCTTGGTTGTCTGTCTCTAAGTGTAGCCCTGCGATGGACTGGTTACCTGTCCAGGGTGTCCCCTGCCTTCGCCCTAAGTCGACTGGGATAGACTCCAGCCCCCCCGCGACCCTAGTGAGGATTAAGCGGTGTCTAGGTGATGGATGGATGGATAATATTAATAATAGACCCCTTTTTTATCAATATGCCATTTGAATGCTATCAAAGCAAAGATAAATGTCTTCCATTAAGGATACTAACATCTGGATGATTAAAATGCTTGAATTTTAAAGACAAAAGCAAGACAGAATATTCAGAATCATGATCACTGTTTCTGTCCAGCTGTCACACATACTGCCCTGCTGACATGGAGCCACTCTACACTGATAGCTGCTAGAGAACACATACAGCATCTGTTACTGCGACTGTAAATGTCGAGGCCTCGACTGCCTGAGCCACTGAAGCAAACGATTAGAGCCTGACCAGTACTAGATTTGTACGGCAAATAAACAATATTGTTTTAATAATGACGTGGGGAAGAGATCACGCACAGTGCTGAACATACAGAGTATTATCACCTGAATCTGCAGCTCCACTTGGCTTTTCAGAGTCTTCATACAGTTTCAGCTCATTGTTTATCTGTCCGGCCTACAACTCTACTTGGAAACCTCTGAAAACCTGCTGGACACTAACTGCTCAGCACCAGACAGACAAAGATACTAACTAGCTGGTGAGCTGAGCACAGTGGAGCATGTAGCTGCTAATCGCTAAGATATTTCTGGCAGAAGGTGGTGGAGACCAAAACAGAACAAAACCGTTGCCCTTAAAGTTGGAATAAAATGTTTTTTTTACCTCTTACTATGAAATGATTATGACAGTGCGATTTGTTCTTGACAGATATATCTTCTCTAAACTTTATTAATAAGTTAAAGTTAATTAGTAAACCACAATTAACTTTTGCAAACTGTGTATTCAGGCTTAAACTAAATTGGGGGTATTGAACAAATATGTGAAGGGTTTTGTTTCAATTTTTCAACCTTGGTCATATCACAGGAAACACATATTCGAGAGGATGTCATGCATTAGAATGTTCAATATTACTCTTTAAAATGTCACTAATATTGAGTACGGCCACCCCTGACACAGATCAATGCGTTAAGGCATGGTGGCATACTGTCCACAAGCTTGTTGATGGTGTCAATGTGCAGGACGTCCCACTTTTCGATCAGATCCCAAAGTCAGAATTAGTTTCACCTGGTAGCTGGGACTCAGTATGTCATTATTGCACCTGGTCAAAAGTGATTACTAGAGAATGACTATTGGACTTACCCAGGTGGTTAGAAATATTCCTGCTATTAAATGAGAATATTGATGCTTGAACCACTTTAGCTTTTGTCTTGTTGTAGTTCACTGACATATATGCCAGTACTACAGTGTACACTTGTAGCAGGCTGGTCAGGCCATAGCAACGGTAACAACAGCTTCTGCGGTCTAACTGTAGTGAAAATTATACAAACAGTATGCCAACTGATCTGACAGTGACGTATCATCCCTGCATTCCAAGTGTCATACTTTCTCCTTTCAGTACAGCTCTCCCTACAAAGTACATGCTGTTCATGCACTATGCATACAGTTGGGACAGACTACTTTGTCATAGCGTAGCACCTTAAGCTTTGACATTCTTGTTCATATACTCATCCCAGTCTGTAAAATAACCTGTCTGTGAGCTCTCTGCGGCTCAAGCTTGTTACTCGAGCAAATCACTGTGAAGTATTTTCTGCTGTGGAGATGATTGTGGGTCAGAAAAGCGTACTGCAGAATGCCACCACATGTAGTAGAGCATCTACATATAACACACTGTGTATTGGGATATATTTCTGACATATTATATAGTACGGCAAAATGGGTATTGGAACACACCCAATGATGTTGGAAAAGCTGCTGTTTATGATTCAGGTAATGTGTTATTCTGCAAAACTGTACTTGGGGATAAAGGTATCACTACACGGGACAACAGACACAGAATAATGTGGCTGATGCATCAGTTAGAAGTAGCTCCCGTGTCTCCAGTCAACGCCTCTATCTGTGTTTTTTGTTTCCTAGAGAGTTGGCGTCTTCTTTGATTCAATGCCCTGCTCTCTTTCTGAACAGATATCTCTGTGATTTCACATACTACACATCTCTGTACCTGAGCCACGGACGCTCCGCCTTCATTCACGTGCCTCCTCTCGGAAAGCCTTACAGCGGTGAAGACCTGGGCCGTGCGCTGCAGGCCATCGTCCAGGAAATGCTGGAGCTTCTGGCCCAGGCTGAGGAGAAGATCCACTGCCAGCAGCACTTCCACTAAGTGACCTCCAGATGCCAACCAGCCTCCCCAGCCTTCACCACACAAGAGAAATTGCACTTAACCACAAGTAGCCAAACTTCTTCTTCTTCGTTTTTTTTAAACTCTTGTCTTTAATGAAACGTCAGAGTGTAGGCATTTTCTGTGTTTATTTCTTCATCGGTTTCTTGTTTTGCTAGGTCTGGTTCAGTTATGTTTTAACGTCCGCCAATGTGGAAGAGATAAAACGGGAGTCCGAAGACAACCCTTACATTGTAATTTAAGCTTTTATCCCATGTCCAAGGAGCACGAAACATTCTGGATTTGGAGTTTAAGATACAGAGAAAAAAGACTTGCTGCTTTTTTGTGTTCATATGCAGTCGCAGCAGAGATGCAGAAAGTTTGTAATGTAGCAGATTTTATCCCCAAATGTGACTCCTATTAGTGCACCTTATAGGGTTAGGGTTATTGAAATGGTTATAGAAGGCACATTTGGGGGAAAAGTAGAATCAAAAAGCTTTCTCCTCAAATTTTACTTTTTAAATTTCGACTTTTACTCAGTCACAATATGTTTCAGTTAGCGGGTGTTTACACCTGAATGTCTATAAATGGTCAATGGACGTATCACATTATGGTTTAGTAGAAATGTTTAGCAGTAAACTGTGTTTGCAAATTTTGTTTTCCGACACATATTTAGTTCCAGCTGCTCTACGGCCCACCTGGGCTGTTTCACATTTGATGCTGAATTGTTTCTTGAGTCCTTTTTCTTTATAAGAAGTTGAAAATTTGCCTTCTTTTACAAAGGTTATTTAAATCAGGGAACGGGTTGGTTCCAGCTCATACTTCCCCAGTTTGTCTTGTCGGCCCAATTCTGACAGAAAAAAAACCCAAATCCACTCCTCCGAGGTCTGGCCCTGGGCTGTGCAATGTTATTTTACAGATCTCATCCGTTGATGTAGTAGGAAATTCCTGTCATTGTTTTATTACGGCTGCATAACTATCAGACAGTTTTAACTACAGACATTTTCATACTGCAGAAAGCAAAATTTTCTTTAGAAGGAGGTGTTTATAAAACTGAACTAAACAAATATACAATCTAAACTGCTTAGCAATTAATATTCTTTTTAAGTGCAAAATGAGTGTTGGGTGTTGCGGCTATATTAGGCAGGAGTCTCCCAGAGTACACAAAGATGTTGAATTATCCGCTAGTCTGGATTTGTGGATAGTGAAATACACTGAGGCCTCCACTTGCTGTGATACTCGATCAGATGTCTCATGGTTTTATCTTTGTATTGGTATTTGCAAAGGTATTCTATCTTAAACCGTGTTGAATACTTGCAAAAAAAAAAGAAATGCAATTGAAGAACAAATTGTGGTTTCTCGTTTCATAGTTGTGCAGCCCTGATTGTTATCCCTCGGTAAAAGCTTTCTGTTGTTCCCTTCACTGAATCAGATATAGCTGCTTATTTTATCTGAGAATTTGATTTTGATGAAGCTGGACTCTGATTTCAGTCAGAATTGGGCCTTGATTTTTTTTATTTCTGTAGCACTTTCTCTGTTTTTGTATTTCAGTTTGACTTAATCTGGAATCTAGACTGCATTTCTCGAGCAATGTGAATGCTTGTGTTTTCTAGTTTTATTTTCAGTCACTTTAACTTTAAATATGTAGCTTTTCACACATACACGCATCCATATATTATTTTTTTTTTTACCTTTTTACTCCAATGATTATAATGATGTATGTGGCGTATGCTTTATATGTGAGTTATGCTTTCTTTTCCCCTAAGCTTTGCTTTGTTCTGACCTGTTTAACACACAGCAGCAAATTCCTTTACTGTGGCGACACTCCCAGATGTTAAACTTCTCTTTTATGGCTTTTTATTGGCTTGTCCTCTGTACTACTGTGTAGCTCAGCATCTCCCTGACTGCAGATATGTCAGGACAGCCTACACCGCCTAATGCAGCTTCATTGTGATCAGTGATGGAGGAAATCATAGCATCAGATGTTCTGCTTACTGCCTCTGTGAATTCCACACAGCACTATGTATGGGAAATACACAGATGTACTTTTAAACTGTCATAGTTAGTCTTCAGATACTGACTGAGTACTGTGCATAGTGCTGCCGTGTTGTTAAGCTAGTTGGTGCCACTGAGTTTTTAGCTGTGTGTGTTATTTTCAATGCTGTTCTGTACAAAAGGTTTTTACCACAAAGCAGCATCACGGAGCACCGAGCCGAACGTCTTCTCAGACCTAAGTTTTGTAATAGCCTTTATTATTTAGCGTATGTCTATGTTATGTGGTTTAAAAATCTCTGATGGAGTTGTTGAACTGCTGGGCGTGATTTGTAGGTGCTGATATGTTTCCATGTGGCTTTGAGTGTTGAGAAGCGAAAGGGTTTGTAGAGGTGCTGCCTGCAGAGTTTCTGCTCACACAAACCTCCTGTTTATGCACGAGGTGACCTCCGACCCCGACTCTCTCCTGTGCCTTGCTGTTGTTTATGTGTGCTATTAAAAGGCCTTACGAATTCTCAGTGGGTCGGTTCAGAGACATATTACTGATGCTGTCCAGTCCCATTTTTGGCTACCTCAAAAATACTTTTTTGTTGTTGTTTTTATCTCACTGTGTGCTCTGTTGTACACTAACATTGTGGCTCTGTGATTTATTATGGGTTCCTGTGTTTAGGGAGGATACACTGACAAGTATCTTCTGCTTCATTAATAAAGCCCTGTTACAGTAAGTAATCTCCGCGTTGTGAAAGGAAAGGCTTTGAAATAAGGAATTAAAGGATTGCAAGTAATATGTCTGTCTGTTCTGTGTATTTTTCTTTTTATCCAATACTCATCAGTTGTGCTTTTTGACAGCGTGGGATTAATTTGCCACTTGTGTGAATGTAAAGCTGGTACAGTGAACATGAAAGATCATAGATGATGCTGTAAAAACAAACATTCAGTAAATGGTTGGCCCAACGTCTGCATGCATGTGGTTTCGCTCGGGCAAATTCTCATCACAAATCTTGTGTTCTGACACCACATCGTAGACAAAACATGGAGGCTACGTATGAATAGTACACGAGAAAAAATTCTGCAAAGCATAGATGTCACGCCGAGGTCTCACTTACCAGTAGCTCTTGATTTCCCATTAAAAAAAGTAAACAAACAGGACATTATTTTCAGTTCCACTGCATGTGGCAGAACTAAGATTTTACAATGCATACCATTTTAAAGCTAAGTGAACATGTTTTCTGAAATTTCTTGTGTAATGAATTATGGCTGGATCAACCAGCTTAGGAGCCACATACATGTCAACGTTTACGAGTCTAACCTGACGCCGCCAAGTTCTCATTTATCAGTGTGACACTGAAGTCAACTGCTACCTCTAAGCTTGAGAACTATGTAGCCTTCGGCTGTCTTTAAATTGGCTAAGAAGAGTCTTTAGTGTTATACAGTATAGAACAGAAGTGAGCCACCACTGTGCAGTGTCACGTACATGTCTCATGGTTTACTGTTGCATCACCTGACAGTAGTAGCACCTAAATCGAACAGGAGGGTATTTGCTCTTCTGTAACATTAAAAACCGTCAGTTTAATTGACTGTAATAAAGATGCAGCCCCCACCTGTGAACTCAAGCAGCAGAAGTCAGTTCATCTTTCATTGATTGGATTCAAATAAAAAAAATAAAAATTCTGCAACACTTTACATTTTTGCCTTTGTATTTGATGCCAGACTCAGTGCTTCTGGAGGACACTAGCGTTGCACAAACTTCTGAAAAGATGTTCCATCATTCTTCAGAGACTTTATTATTCACAGCTGCCTTTTTGCTGGAAGAGTTGTGTTGCTCTTCCTTTCTCTTTAAAATACCCTAAAGATGTTCTGTTGGATTCAAGTCAGGCAACATACTTCGCCATGCCACAGCTGACACTGTCTTTTTGAGAATCTTGTGTGGTTTCAGCATTGTGCTCCAGATCCTTATCACGCTGGAATACTGTGTACTGTCAAGCTTTTGCAGACGGGGAGTCATCCTGTCGACTAGTATTTTGATATATCCACATGCATTCATGGTGCCATCGAGAAATGTCATCTCCTTTTGCAGCCTCATGCCATCCCACTGGTCACTGTCAGGACTAATCACTGTGGTGGTCCTGAACAGGTTCATGCCAAACATGCTCACCAGTCATTCTGTATCCATGTTAATGCAATTACCTTCAATGAAAATCACAGGTGTACTTAGTTCTGTTTCAATGATCACAGGTGTTCTCGTGTGTGTCAGTAATTACAGGTGCATTGACTGAGTTTCTATTTCAGGACCTCTGTTTCCAATATAGTGTTTGATTGTTAACAGGAGCAAATACGAATTTACTTGTAAACTTAGATAATATTTACTGAAACTAAACTAAATCACTCCGAACAGGAAACATCAGTCAAATGAGAAACAGACTGAGGAGACCTTGTTGTCGGAGGCCGAGTGCTTCAAACTGCGCGCTTTAAACACGAAGGTAAGTCTGGGACCTGCTGCCAGGTTCAACTTGACTGGACTGACTTCTGTTGGTGACATGCAGCAATAGAAAATAATATTCTGACAAAAACTGAATAAAATGCAATAACAATGTTCCATGGACTATACACTATGTGAGATTTATTTACTTACTTAGTGACTAATTAGTTTATTAGTTTATTTGGGGATTTCACACTAGACAGACATTTTTACTCCAGGCAGCAATTTGAAAAGGTTCTGCTTTTTTTGTGCTTCCTCCCACAAGCTGCTCTCTCTGAGGTTAATTACCTCCACCAATGAGGTTATGCTTTAGCCGGCGTTTGTTTGTTTGTTTGTTTGTTTGCAAGATAACTCGAAAAGTTGGGATTTTTTAAGGAAATGTTGATAATGGCACAATGAATAGATGATTACATTTGGCTAGTTTCTCATAAAACAGTAAATGCTGTTAAGGGTCACAGTCGTGCAGAATGCTGTCGTTGCGCGATTTGTCCACTAGATGGCGCTCCGACTTCATTCAGTCCTTCTGTCTTCTTAGCAGTACATGAGGAAGCTACAGCCAGGCGACATTACAGGAGTGAGCTGAGCGGAGCTACTGACAGATAAGTTCGTAACCACGTTGTGACATTAGCAATGACTCAACATGTCTCCTGTTTCACATTAACTCTCTTTGCCATGTGTCAGGACGACTGACGCGGGCTTTTCATTTCCGTTGCTAAAGTTGTGCTAACCTAGCTTAAACGACTCCCTGTCTATGTTAGCAGTAACAATCACTGTAGGTATGCCAACCTAGCATAGCGTTAGCTAACAGCTTAAAGCCAGTAAGTAACTGCAGACATATCTGAGAGAACAGAACGACCATCCATCACTCCGTCAGCTTGTTATTAATGATATCAGTGGTAATTCCAATGCTAAAGCTATGTTTTGGTTCTCCGTGAATCTAATAGTGTAGATAAAATTAATTATTATTCAATCTTGAGAGGTAATGCAACGTGGAATCATTCAGGGGATTTTGCAAAGGGGTGCATTTAATTCTGTTGAACGCTGAATATCTTGTAAGCACAGTGTAAGAGTCTTAAAAGTAGATTTCTGGACGCTGCCTTAGTTGTTGCTTTAGCAGTAAACAGTGTCTAGCAAATTGGCAGTTAATCACATATCCAAAAAACCTTTTGATACACACTTTTGGGGCACTTTTTTTTTTTTTTTTTAATCGAAGTGGTAATCCATCCTTGTGATTAAAACACTGGAACGACACACACTTGTAGCAGTATTGATTATACTAAAATGCTATGGCAGAAAACAAATTGTATCATGTCTGGAATTTTTTTTTAAATGCTAAAATATTTTGAGGCAGTGAGAATTTTGCTCTCAATAAATATTTTTTACAAGGAGTACACCCAATTTTGGTATAGTCTCCATCTTTTTTTCTTTTTTTTCCCAGCAGCCACAACGATTTTGTTTCGATTCTCATAAAAGGGATCGGAGTGAGAGCTCCTCCTGCGCGGACCTGTCTGCGCTCCCCAGCCTCCGGTGAACGTCACACGCTGAGCGGCGCAGGGAAGTCCGTCACGGCCGCTGTTGGACCTGCTGGAGCTTTCGAGGTTCTGATCGGTTCCATTTTTGTTTGGGTTCAAATTCAGACTCTCAGCGTCGGCCTCTAAACCAGCTGTCGATAAGCAAACGCGGTGTGGATTTTAGTCGTCTTCATACGAGCACCGGAAACCGTTCAGTGAAGCGAAAGTTGAGAGTCGCGATGAGTGTGGAGGCGTACGGGCCGAGCTCCCAGACCCTCACCTTCCTGGACACCGAGGAAGCCGAGTTGCTCGGAGCGGACACCCAGGGCTCCGAGTACGACTTCACCGACTTCACCCTTCCCAGCCAGACGCAAACTCAAGGCCAGACCCAGAGCCAGTTGGACAGCCAGGTCTGAAGCTTTCAATTTCACTGGAAGGCACAATAAAGCGCGGTTAGCTAGCTGAGGCAGCGCTGCCAGTTAGCCCGCTGTGGCAGCATCTAGCCGTGCTTAGCTTCACGTTAGCTCGCTTAGCACGTTAGCAATCCCGCTAACTAAACTCCTAAAGTAATGATAGGTGTCTTAGCGCGTTTGTTTTGAACTGTACGAAGCCAACCGGATTATTAGGTGCAACTTTATTCACCAAAGACAAGATTAGTGAGCATTGACAATGTGTGAGCGTTTAATTAACTGGCTTTTCCGCGCGGTGTGCCACAGCCGTTAGCCGCTAGCTGTTAGCATTGAGTTTGTTTGGTAAAGCTTGTTTTGTGCTGCAGGTAAACGGTCCTGATGAGAGCCTTCTCAACGGGGGGGTGGATGACTCGGTGGCCAAAGCCAGCCAGCTGTTGGCCGAGCTCAACTTTGAGGAGGATGAGGAAGACACGTACTACACCAAAGACCTGCCTGTGCACGCATGCAGGTACCCTGACAGGAACCACACCACGCCAGGATGTCAGTTGACACATCACCGAGGAAGTCTTTCCAGCGCTACATCAGCTAGCGTGCTCTTTCTGTGCCTAAATCATACTTTTGCATACAGGATGTACTGTTAATACTGTTTTTTTTTTTGTTACACAAAAGTCAGGGATGCCAACAATGTTCACAATCTTCATTACCTGTTACAGTATTGTTTAATTCTGATTTCAAATACTGTCTACGGTACAGACTTTTTTATTCTGACTAAGTCAAGACGTTCATGTATCACTGAACAAACAAAACACATCATCCAGCTGTAGTAACTGACCATTATTGCAAGTACTGCGCTGACTTCCATTCTTAGCTCTACTTCAGTAATTTGCTCTCCTGTGAGCACACTGAAAATAACAATCACTGTAGAGTAATTTAAATTTGTGGAAATGATGAATGAAGTTACTGAGATGTGTGCAAAAGAAACCTTTTGTCTTTAGAAAATGAAGTGGTTAAAAAAATGTTTCTGCTGTGTTTCACTATATTTCAGTCGCTAAACGGATCTAAGCGTTTTAAAGAAGATAGTTTGATTTTCCAAGCACAAATTAGTTTTGAAGATAACACATTTACTTTGATTGCAACTTATTGAAATAATACGATTTCCAACAAACTAGTGATTTTTTACGATGTAACTGTAGGAGTCATTTATGGCAAGGGCACAGTTCTGTGACATTTCACGTTTACTGTCGAGTCTCATTTAAATATGCAATGGATATGATATGCTGTCTCCTCAGATGCGTGGTGTTGTGTGTCGTTCAGTCTGAGGTCAGTTTGGCGTGGCCTAACTGTTGCTCATCTTGTGTTTTGACTAAGTGCTGCATTTGTTTTGCAG